CCCGCCTTGCCCGCTGGAGCACCCAGCAAGGTCTTGCGCTTGCGCCTCATCGCGTTAGAGCACCAGCTGCCGCTGTGTGACGTGTTATGACGTGTTGGCTCAGTCCAACCGAAGAAGTTGAGTTGAAATGAATCTGGATTCTATGGGCTATGGGTTTGGAGATCGCCCATCCAATCCAAACGGATTCGAAGACCTGAACCAGACGGGTTCGAATGGCCAAACGTTGGGGTCTGGGTGCATCAGCTTTCAAGGGGGTTTTGGCCTTGGGGGGTCAATCTATTACAATTTGCAACTCATACACATCCAGTGTCAGGTGCGAATATCAGATGATCAGCGGCCGAAGTTAAGCCACTCATTGGATGGCAAAACAGACCCGGTCTGTCACTGAGTCTAGAAGAGAATCTCTACAAAAACGCATTTGAGATGGGTGTAGTTTATGATGTTTTATGACGTTTGACGTGGAGTTCCTGTCGCGGTGTCCACGGTGTCCACTGAAAACACGATAGATCATGATAGTGTAGACAAGTCCAGCCAGGCGATTCCCACATGGATAGTCCTTGAAATCGACCACCAAAAGACCAACACAGATGCATCTCCACCTCCCAAAGGGCACAGGACACCCGGGTGGCTGTTGAATCCTGGTGTCCAAGTCAGTTGACGCGCCAGGCATCCCTATCTCTATCAAAAGCCACCCCAAGTTGCTCCCTGCTTACCAAAGCCAGACCTTGACCTTGCAAACCAACAACATGCCTCAAGAGTTCACTGCCCCCTCCAAAACGCCAAAACAAACAACAACATCTATCAAAGACTAAAACTGCGGCTCCTGGCAGGCCCCTCACCGGGCTCCGCAGCCTGTGCTAAGCACCCAAACTGGGCGTCCGGGCTCCAAGGTGTTCTCCAAAAAGTCCACCACGTTGGCCGAACTCGTCTGTGCCGAGAAGTTGGCCGAAGCCACCTGGACCCCCGGGCGGTGGAAGGCGCGGCAGGTGGGGAGGCGTCCGGCGCGGAAAAAAGCGGGGCCGGTGTTCTTGGCGGCAGCGAGAAGGTGAGGGAAACAAGGCGCCTGCGGTGACCGTTGCGGTTGAAAGATAAGGTGTGATCATGTCAAAGAGGAGTTGGCCAAATAGACTGAAAGAGAGGTTGGCCAACAGGATCCCCAAAGGCATGGTTAGCTGGTTGCCACATACCAAGAGTTGTCGGACCTGGCACAGATTTGCAGTCACCTCAAAATCGTGGTAATTCACCATTTCGGGGGCCACGCAACAGGTCCAACATCGTGACCAATCCGTCACATCCTCAGGGTGGTTTTGAGTGTTTGTTCCGGCGCCGATTTAGGCACTGGAGAGAGTCGGCGCGCAGTAGTAGATGGGGTCAGACCCAGTTCTCCGAACGGTACTTTCCCCATGGTATCCTTGGGCTATCCCATTCTCCAAGAGTTGACTTCGCACATGGAATTCCACCGCTGATTCGAGGTTCCCTCCACCCGGAAGGCGGTTAAGGGGCCGTCTCCCGGTCCTCCGGGTGCCCCGAACGGCAAAGGTCTCACCGGCGCTGCCCAAGAACTGTTGGATTCCAACGGACTTTCCCACGCCGGTCTCACCTGCGGGACTCGGTTGGCAGTCCGAACGACCGGGCATCTCAGCCTGGGTGCCGTGGTGGGTGCGGTGGGTGCAGCGACCAGTGAACTGTGGAACTGGAAGGGGATGAAACAACATGTCATAGTGATACAACATTAATTCGTAAATTACACTTCTTGTGCGATAATCCATGTGACGACGGCGATGGAACCAGACAACAAATGGTCAAAAAAAGGTCTAGGCACATGCCAACAACCAACCACCAAAGGTCAGCCCTCAAGTTACATGATGCTGTTCTTCAGAATTGAATCTGGTAACAATCGTTTATTGTGTTTTCTGTAATGGCTAGAAAGGGATTTCTTATAGGAGAGGTGCCTTGAAAGTTCCTGGTTGTCAATACCTGTTAACGACTTGACTCGATACACACTTACTATCACTTACTGGACCCCATCACCACCCTCACAAAAAAAGTCAACAACCACGTGGCTCATGACCTATATGCATCTATATGCCCTATTGCTCAGGGTCATCCTCCACTTAACCAGGGTTCTTTCAACCCCCCCCGTCGCGTCGAGAGCTTCCGCTGAGAGTCGAGCACACGCGTCGAGAGCACACGCCTGAGAAGAGCACATGGTAGCCTGCGCTCATCAGATTCTCCACCTGGCGGGCTACGATCTGGAAGATCGTGGAGTATACTGAGTGTACAGTGAGAACCGTCTGTATAGCTGAGTGAGAAGTGAGAGCACTACTGGGTCATCTTTCGTTGTTTTTGTCCTCATAGGCATGCATAGGCGTGAAAGTCTTTGCTGAAGTTGAAGTTCCATGTCGACACTGTCCTCCAAGTCATCACCTAAAGCCGCGCACATATAGACCAGACCCTCTCCCCATCTCACAGCCGGCACGCGCCGAGGCCGACCAGCAAGCGCTGCATGGTCGTCTCCACTGTTGGCACCAGGATGTTGAAGAAGGGGACCTGATAGTGTTCGTTGGCAGGTCACCTGAAGACCATTTGTTTAAGAGTTTGATCCATTCATGATCATGAACATTCCAATTGGTGATCACGGTCTCTACTAAGTCAGTGGCAAAGCCTGTTAGATCATGTTAGATCAGAGTTCCAATCAGCTACCGAAATCGCCTTTAACCTGGTTTCTGCATCGGAATCTTCTTTTTTCTTTGTCGCCTCAACGTCGAAGGTGAAGTGAGGCACCATCTGCGAGACTGGGACGAAGCTACCCTGAGGCGCAGGCGCCGACCGCATGCGACGGGTCGGACGCATGGGACCCGGGCCCTGGAACGCGCTTACAGTGAGAACCCCCAAGTTACGTCCATTTGTTGTAGCATATATGGTGGTTCTATATAACAACATCTGAAAGGCTGTTTTATATATAAACTCCTCACTTACACGGGGTTTTCGATCAACTCCCATATATATGCTCTATAGATGGGCATATTGACTCTGATATTGGGCATCATGCCCAATATCAGTCAGTTCAATCAATTGCGTGATCTGTTCCTTTCTATCATGTTCCGTCCCTTTCCATTGATGGACCACCGACTTTCGTGTATGACACTTGCACATGTTTGGTTTCACTATGCACCAATGGCAAGTTGTGAACCCATCCAATTAGGCTACTACAAGTGTGGCAAATGATTTGAAAGGCGACTTGATTGACCGACCAGAAGCCATAAAGAATGCAGTTATACATATACCCTCCAAGTAGATGTCCAGGAGCAAACACGGCCTAACCTTGAAGAACCTGGTTCATGCAAATTAGGGTTCTGTGGCGGCCATCCTTCTCCGCTATGGTCCTCATGTTTGCTGCCCTAGCAGAGCCCACAACGTTGGACGGAATTATATAATCCCTGCAGGGACAGGTTCCCTTCTGAATGGCTAAGACTCGTGCCCTAGCATGGCGCACCTCAAGTACTCGAATGACAAAACCTGAAGATTCCTTGTACCAGTGAAGTGAATGATCAATTAAGAAGAACAACGTAGCGATTCTGCGCAGCGATTGAAGCGCATCCCTTCTCCTTGGAACTTGGAACTGCTCCCAACACATGGAACCATCCAGATGACGCGCATCCTGTGTGGCATGTTTGCTACACACCAACCCACAAGCTGCGGACTTAAACAAAAAAACATATCCATCCAATATGCCAGAAAGTGAGCCTTCGATTCAAACTCCCTGAATCATTCATTTGAGGAGGGGCGTTTACAAAAAGACTCCCCATCAATGGGCATTGGGCTGTTACATTAGGGAATGCTGGAGAGTCTAAGCTCATCGGGCTTGCAGCGGCTTGCATCAATCAAGCGGTCTTTTGGCACACGAGCAACCAAAAAACAACGAAAGCAAGACCATCCAGCAGCAAAAGATGTTGCTCACCAAAGAAACATGCATGGCCTGCCAGGTAGCCTGGTCTGATTAGTATTCCATGTGGTAGGAAAAGGCTTAAACTTCCCTACACTCAGCTAAATGGTCACTGTGACTTGACTCGATGTACCAAAAACCTATGAACATCTACGAAACAAAATGAAACGATGCAAACTTAAAAATGTTGTGACCGATTGTTTGAGATCTTTGTGGGCTTTCTTGCGATGAGTTCACCTGCTCTGCTGGGGTTCCCTGACTCATGCCCTTTTCTGGGGACATGAAAGGTTCATGTGCTCGATAATTCCTTAATATGCCTTCTATCAAGACGATAATGGAACAAAGGTTGTAAAGGGTTTCCAGGGTTTGATAGGCTTTGCATGAGGACCTATGAGGACGGAATTTGGTGGGAAAAGGTTCGGAAAATCGACCAAATCTCAACCAAATCCACTTAACCCTGGTCGGGTCGGTCTCGGTGGGTGGGAGACTGGTCCAGTTCTGTTTCAGCAGGCGAAGAACACATTTGCTGCATCAGGGGACTATCCCAAACACTCCAGGTGGGTGCTGCATCTTGACCATCAAGTTGGTTTGGCTCAACATGTCGAAAAAAGGGATAGACATGATTTACACAGACCTGGAGTGTCCTGGGTCGCATCCGAATTGGCACCGAATTGCCCTCGCATTGGCCCGTGGGCCGTAGAACGCGTCGCGTGGAACAGGGCTCTTGTTGTGCGTCGTTGGGTTTAGTACCCTGACCAGCAGAACCGCCTTCAACAGGATAGTTTATCTTGCAACTGCAAGCTGTCCCAAAACACAGCAAAACATAGGAATTACATTTTCGACATCTCATTGACTTGGAGTTCCATTCAATCCCCTCCAAGAAAGAATCGTATAAGAAAACTTACCATTGTTCATCCCAAAGCATTCATATGTCTGTTTCCTTCTACAGCAGTGGTTCCTAATAGCGAACACAGCCCTCGCTGTACACCGCGAACTCCCTGTTCTCGCTGTCTGCACGCTGTCAACCGCCCGCGCTCAACCGCGAGCTACAGCTCTAAGGACTCAGAGGGGACCAGCCACCACTGGAGGCGCGACTGGCGCGGGACCAGCGTCGACTGGAGCGTCGGCTCGGGTCCACTTGGGCCTGGAGGCGGCGCGACCGAGCCGTTTGGGCTGGTTGGTCGTCCGAATCTAGATCCTTGGCTGACTGAGAAATCTGCTTCTAATAGACAGGAGTCCTGCTGTTTGGTCGAAGTGTTGAAGAAGACAGCTTGTAGCCGATGTTGCCTCATCTGTCCCTGTCTCCGAAATGGAGGGCCTTCTTCAAAGTATCAGGTGTTCATGTAATGTTGATGAACTCAAAGATTCCAACAACCTGAGGGGCTTGCAAAAATGCCAAGCGGCAAACATCATTGGTCCGACCAACGCCTCTCCCTTTCAATCCGTCGAAGAAATAGCCGCCTGCTGAAGCTCCTCAATCTCCTCGTGGTTTTGTCCCTCTTGTGCCATCAGGTGCTGGATCAACAGCTCCTGGGCGTTGGATCAACGTAGCGAAATTCAGCCAACTGACGGCGAAGTGTTCGTCCGAAGAATAGAGCCTTGCAGGTCGTCCGAAGAATAGACATGTGTCGCATGCGACATCCACGTTTCGTCAACAAAAAAACGCTGAGAAATCGGATGGATGCGATCAGTGGTCTTAGGTCATAGCCACTTTCATCACAGAATAAGTTGAGCAAAGGTCATTAGGTCATTAGGTCGTGACACTGTGCCAAAAAGAGGCCCTCCGAGGTGGAACAAGTCATCCACGGCGGAGGGAGGGTCGATGACTTGGATGGCAACTGAAGAACTGAAGATGAGCTCCCGAGTTTGCGAGTGGCTTCGCTTTGAGAATTCTGTGCTACTTCCATGTTCAATGACGTCGGGAGGACATGGGAGGACGCTAACGAAACACCAAGAGCCGCCCCAGAGCATTGAACAATAAATATATAGACCCTCAGATAAATAGAAAACTAGATCCCCACTGAAAATGTCTTGGACACCGTTTCTACCTATTTGGGGACCACAAAAATCATGTTATATGATGTGCATATATGTTCCCATGTGTTCACTCTCCAACAACCATTTTGACCATGCTCGGTGACAAGCCGGAACAGGCGGCCCCCAAAAAGCATTCACATCGCTGGAGGACCCCATCAAAACCCATGGATTTGCTGTCCAAACAAAATTGTGTTCCGCAAAAGGGGATTCACCCTCATTTCCCGCCAGTCAAGCTTGGCAGGCTGCCAAGCTTGGCAGGCTGCCAAGCACATGAACCTACAAGATGCTGGGAGTGTAAGGACGGGCTCCGCTCCGTCTTGTCGTCGCGCGTCAGGGGCACGTCCCAGGCCAAGCTTTCTGAGGCCTCTGTCTGTCGAGCTCTCGTCGGCGGTGTGACGGTGTGGTGCAAGGTTTTGTCCCAAGAGAGTCTTTCGTCCATTGATTCGACAGGAAGCCCTGCATGCAACACCGGAAGCTACTGCAAATGTTTGGTTCACCAACTAGCAGCAATGAGGCCCCTGGCTCACGACCTGCTGGAAATCCTGCTGTCCGTTTCCAGCCTACTACATAGCTGAAGCGACAACTTGACCAGGATTCAGATGCTTATCATATGGTGTCATATCATGCATATGTGAGGATCAGTGTGCTGAGATATCCTCAAGCACATTCAATTGAACATGCAGTTGAGCTTACAATATATACATACATATGTATATATATAGGTCAAAACTGCCCTCCATGGTTGTCCATGATTACTGTATGCTCCAGAAAATGTAAAAGTCATCAAACCAATGTCAAGTATCCTGACAAGCATGAGCCGTTTGTGTGCAAGCATGTTGACATGCTTGGGTGTCCCCCAAAGGTAAGGGTTGATTCAGCAGGGTTGATGCAACTCCACTTAAAGGCAAATAGCAAATGGTTCTCCTCGATGCCAGGTTGGCTATTTGTTGTAGGGGAATAGAATCATATCCGCTCTGCACAAAAAAAATGCAAATAGTTTCCCGAGAAGGACGGGTGTTCTGCTCCCAATGAAACACACATGCCTCTTTGTTCAACTTGTAGTTATGTGCATTTCCCCAAACAATATCACCTTTGATCTGGAAAGAACGGCTTAATACCAAAGCCTTCCAAAAGGTAAGCAGGGTGAATTCTTTGAAGAAATGTACCCCTTGCAACACGGACAGTGCCTCAGAGTCATGACTAGTGGTCCGAAAAAAAAAATGACAAGCGTTTTCAGGGGGCGCCTTCCTCAAGCGGTGCATTGAAGGCCTGTGACAGGTTGAGGTTGAGGAGAAAAGGGAACACATTAGGGCTCCAAGTACCTCTTCAGAAGAGATTGCGTTTGTGGATTTTGAGAAGTGAAACCAACTAATCTGACTCGCCGTGCAAAGAGGAGATTCGTCATTGTTGATACATACTCTTTGGTGTTTTGGCTCTGCAGAAGTTCCTTCAATGGAGACTAGTGCGGTAGCAATGCGTTCCGGCGCTGTCGAAAAAAACAGTTCCAGGAAGTTTCTGCATTGGTCGCCTGGTTCGCGATTCTGTTCCTGAGGTGCCCCATATGCCTCTTTGGGACCAAACAAGTTGTTTCACCATTGCCATAGCCTAGAGCTTGGGGAACTTCTGCCGCTTAGGGATTCACTCGGGGGTTCCTTAAAAGCAACTCCACGTCCAATTGCCCCTACCAACGGCGTGATCCTGGATCACTTTCGGAGGATCTCTGTGACATCTGGTGAGGCAACTGAAGATCTAGACATATTCTAGACCGTTGATGGATACTCCATACACTAGTTTTAAGGTCAACAGCCCATACACCGCTTTAATGTAACAATGTAACTTTTGTTCCATTGGTCGAACATCTTCGGCGCCGTTGAATCGGACTGTCTGTCTGCGGGGATGGGTTACGTTGGTCACAGATGTGACTCCAGGAAAGAACTCCCAGCAAATACGAATATACATAACCCAGACGCTCCATAAAACTGCCATATATGCCTACATTGACCCCTTTTCAACCACCCCAACTGATCGGCAGTCCTATGGCAGTCCCATTAGTCGTGTCTGGGTCATACACCATACGAATACGCAAACCTCCCAGTTCCTGCGCCCGAGGCCCTGCTGCGCCGGGCTCCAAACGGCACGAAGGAGTGAGACGACTCCGCACCGCCACCGCGGCCACCGCGGCCACTGCGGGCCTTTGGTCTAACCAGCTGGCAAAGGAACGTCGTGGCTCCTGCCATATGCTCGAACCGTCTCACCGTCCGCAGCGAGGACCGTGCGTCAGCGAGGACCAGCTGACGGTTTTGTTGGTCCCTGAATGTACGGTTGGCTTATCAACATGCACCAAAGTATATAGGGATGTATGTTCAGAGGGAAGCTACTGTATATTTATGTACAGACAAAAATATATGGAAATAGCCCTAAAGGCCCAAAGCCTCGGGTTTTGCGGGGATAGGCCTGGCCCTCCACAATCAAAGGTATCTTTTTCAAGGAGAGGACTTGACGTCCAGATCCCTAACATCCCACCTTCCGTGTGATTCCTTGTCTCAGTGGATCCCTTAGTGTGCCTAGTGGATCTCTTCTCGCCTCTTTGCCATGGGCATGTCATCTTTCATTGACTTTGTTGGGGGGGCCTGGTAACACACCAGAATCAGCCGACATTGTCTCATCAGTGAAGACGTGTGAAGACAACACACCTTCTACCCGATTCTATCCTGCATGTCGAGGGATGTTCCATGCATTGGGCGATGACGTGACTGCTCAGCTTTTCTAACTCCATCCAGGACGTGGCTTCTCTTTTGAGGTATGACAGGTATGACTGCGGTGCCTGGTTGTGTAGTCACTACCCCTCAGCTTTCCAGCACGTCCAATCAACACGTTCATTGGAGCTCACTTCGTGTGTGTGTGTGTGTGAGCAAGAATAAGGAAACACTTCGTGTGAGCGATTTCCTTTGACTCGCAGGTCAGTGAGCACACTCTGCTCCTGCCAACCCTGCAGAGTCCAACAGGAGCTGAGTCCAATCTTGCAGGGATTCTGGAAGAATTCAACATACTCACTCATCCCCTGGTTCTCCAACTTGCCAGTCGCCGGTCCCATGCATCATACCAAAGTCCCCCAAGTCCAATGACCAGTTTTTAGCACGACGCCGTCTTATGCCCGAAAGACATGTCCTGGAGGTCATCCTCATCCTCTGGCTGCCCCTCCGGGGTTGGATCATTCACCTCAGCACTCAAACCTTCCCCCCAAGGAAGCACGCCCCCCCCCCCCGCAGAAACCACGTGATGTTGGCTCGAAAAAAAACAAGTTGTTGGCTCAAGGGTTCAGGCCGGCGCTCAAGGAGCACCCCTCCGCACGCGATCGAGGACTCTGAATGGAAAAGTACAGAGAATGTGCGAGCAATGATCAACCGGGGGTTCCTCTCCTGTCAGAATTCTTGGATGTGAAAGTCCTAAGGTGTTTATACCCAGCTCACCGGGATGTGTGGATCCCTTCTGTCGGATCGGGCTGGACTCGGAAACCCCAAGCACCAAGCCGTTACATCGCAGGTCTTTGGAGCCTCTCCCGACTCTTCTTAGCCTCCCACGGGCATCAAAGCCTCCATAAAGGCCTCACACCGCTCACACATGATGTGGGGCCTTTTTCTTTTGATTCTTGGAAAGGCCCTCCCAGGCCCTCAGCCGCGAGATCTAGCAGCTAGAATGAGCTGGCTACCCTTCTAGTTCATGATGACTGAGTCAGTTAGATTTTGGAGCGCTGGGAGCAAACAGACGGTGGCTGTGCCGCTTTGGGAGCGCAAAATCGGGTCGTTCATGGTCTTTGCCTATCGAGTATATAATCGGCCATGGAAATCTCTCGTGGATCCCACTTACTTTCTATATATCAGACGCAAACTATGGTTCCTATATTATACCTTCCCATGATCAAGTCACTAACTCTATGCTTTCAAAATGGTTTCAACAAATTGGTTCACACCGCAACTCCCCAAAGTGCCAATGGATTCCAAAAATCTCACTATAGGATATGATCTAGGAACCTCAATTGAATCGGTCTTTTGCACTTCAGCATGGTTCGCTTGATTTCTACAAACAGCAAGCTTTGGATCTGTGAAGGGGATTCCACGCCACTGGAAGATCTACATACTGAGCGAGCTTGAGGGGCCAATTCTGGAAATCGTCACTCACCTCGGTAGACCCGATAGATGAGTCTGCAAAAGCAGAAACACAAGTTCCCTCTTGACTTGGACGAGCTTAAATGCCTCCCCTCAGCACAACCACAAGCTGAAAAAAATTATAGTTACTTTACTTCACGTGCTTCGCTTAAACAGTACTGGAAGCTTACGTGCTGTATCCTGTCATTTGGGGATCTAAAAGAGTGTTTGTTCCTTTTTTTAGCTTGCCTCATGTAGGACCCTCCATGTCACCACAAGCTCTGACCAAAAAAGATCACCTCCGTAAATAAAAACGCCTCTCGACCTCTCGTCTTACTGGCTGTTAAGCAGGAACAGGGAACCACTGGAGATTGAAAGGATCTCTACTGAACTTGAAGGTTTCAAAGTAGTTCTTCATGCAGGTTGCTGCTTAACAGCCAGTAAGTCCTCTCCTCCATCCTCCTCTCCGCCGCGGCTCCGGCGGCTTCGCCGCCCGCCTCCACGGGTTCGTGATAGCATTGCCTCGCCGCTCGGTGGACGTCTTCCGCCGCATCGGCCTCGGGCCAACGGGCGCGGCGGGCGATAGCCCAGTGGAGGAAGAGAAGCACTATTGGTATAGTAAACTGCGGAAACTAATGTGGTGACAATGTGGTTCCAAACTAAAAAGAAACTTCAGGTGATTCCAAAGACTTCAACCGTAGACTGCTGTAGACAAACCTTGGATCCTCATGTTGATAGATCTGCACTGATGGTGCGGACGGATTCCTCACCGCCAGCTGCAGGCATGTGGGGCCGTGGCCGTCCATCCAAGTCCATCGGTTGGAATCGTCCGAGGAAGGCGACGGCGACGGCTGCCAACACGACTGGCCTATTTGCCGATCAGTTGGGGTGGTTGAAAAGGGGTCAATGTAGGCATATATGGCATACATGGAGCGTCTGGGACATGTTCTGATGTTTGTTCTGCATCTGCTAGCGAACGCCAATGATCCCCGGCTCATAGCATCCGCGCGGTTTCCAAGGCCACTTCATTCTCTCTGGAGTTTGATGTCTTTGTGGGGACTTTACCCCTGGGTGTCCGAGGTCCTACTTCAGAAGAGGCGGCAACTCATCGGATGTCCATGTCATCTCGGGTCAAACACCCCACCAAGCCCCAGGCCCTTGGCGACATCTACAAGCGGGCACCCTGGAATCCAATACAGTTTCGATTGGTGTGCAAAAACGCCATGTCAAGGAACAACAAACACACTGCACTGCCTAGTTAGTCCTTTTCTTTAATGCGACTCTTGCTGGTCGGGAAGTCCCAGTGTGAGGTCACATGCAGAGATAACAGGGGGCTTGGGACCATGCCATCACGGAATGGAAAAACATTGGAAAACAAAAACATATTAACATATATATATATATAGACCCCCCAAATAGATAGAATAGTAGATCCCCAATAAGTAATATTTGGGGACCAAATAGCATTTCTACACGCTAATGTCGATGAACTTTTCCTCAACACAGCAGTTACAGCTGAGGTCTCAAGCCTTTCGGGACTTTCCCGCCAACACATCTCAAACACGCCGCCGGTATCAAACCTTGGCAAGGTCCTAATTATTGGAGAATATCCAGAACATTCCAGAACCCAATCGAACATGCAGTTCCAAAGTGGTTCCTGTTCAAAAAAAACCTCACGGAGTGTCCATCCACTCACTGACTTGGGGACTTTCCAAGCACTCCGACTCGACTCTGCTGCATCAAACATCCATCTGCTGCCTGGGGTCCATGGCTAAGTTGCATTCCGTCCACGCTTTCATGATGGCGAACTCGGGATCCCTGCCCGGCTTCTGCATGTCATCATGGATGTGCTGTCCGGGAGGAAAGACAAACACAGCACACAAAAAGAACACTGATTTTAAAAAAACATACAAAAACGATCAAAAACAAGTTATCAGGTTCGGAGATTTACCCATAAAACATCATAAAACCAAGTCATTCTTGCCCCTTCCGCTTGGATCGTGATCCTTGGATCGGAGACAAGACGCAGGAAACCGGTCCAATGACGGTTCGAAGCTCAAGGGATTGGAAGTCCATTGGAAGTCCTTCCGGCACCATGCGATGCTCAAACCAGTGTGGAGTCAAAGCTTTGGCTGTCACGTCGTCCACTGTGCATGCTGACTGTGGGAAGACTACAAAAAGTGTCTCTGCAAAATTCAAGACTGCTTCAGATTGTGTTATGTTCCTTAGGCGTGATGGGAAGGTCTCTTCGCCCATGCTTGAACTGGAGAACATGGTCATCACCTGCACACTCCCTGAAATCATCATGGTTACGTCGATGGCACCACCTGTTTGGTCTTCGGATTTCATGGTCATCCGAACAGCTTTTCGGCCATACGTTCTCCACGTTTGGCATGTCCACTTTCACCATGGTTTGTACTAAGTGTGCATGGGTACCACCAGTGATCACCAGTCCCAGTCCGAACGAACGCTGTGCACGCGGTACACGGAGTGGTGCACCAGGTGCTGCCGAACGCCTTCCATTTCGGGGCCCATGGGGCGGCTTCTTCGCCGGTCTCAACCAAACCCCCACTGACAGGGCTTACTGGCACCCCATGGCAGAGTGCGCATGGAGGAAGCACTGGCAGCCCATGGTTTGGTGGGATGACCATGTGTCAAGCCCATGACTTGAATCAAATGAATCAATTATCGCCTCTCTGATAAAAGCCAATGACTTGATTACTGGGGCATCTAGTGATGCTGAAGAGCCGCCTCTACTCTTGGATGGCTTATTATAGCTCAACTGCCATCTACAATGGAGTGTTTGAGGAACAGGAAATGTTCAGGACAGCTTGCCAAGCTGTTGTCTTGACACTCCGCAGTCTCCACCAGCTCACCTTGTTCCAGTGTCACCCTCATTCTAAAGGGTGTTGCTTTTGGCTGTGACATCATGTTTTCGATCATGTTGCATGCTTCCCCCTAGTGAGGCCACTGTCTTGACATGCCCAAAGTGTTTTTTGCAATCCACTTGCCATAGTCTTGACTTGCAGAAATGCGCACTTCTGCGTAGGGGACGGCACATGGCCCATGAAAACTGTTACATGATCGGATTTCATCCAGGCGCATGGCCTATTTGGGATCAAAAAAACAAATATATGCGTTTCGAAGTTGATCCTGTTTGATCAATTCTCCTTCCTCTGCCCAATTCCATTTCTGTCCTGCCCCATAAATAAGAACATTCACACCTCTGGATTCTTGGCTCGAGGAAGGCCATCGCCATCGCATGAATCTGGCCGCCTTGAAGAAGGTCCCAGGCAAAGCTTGATCTCAATGCCTCGCCTCGGCGCGGGCGCGCGGGCTCATGACAAGGTGTGCCTTCATTTGGTGTTCACCGAAGACGGATGGCTTCCACACCCTGAAACGGATGGTCCACATGGTCCACTCCATACAAAAAAAGACCGCTCCAACTGCACATCGTCAGGGATGAACCCCCACGAAATCGTGGGGCTACGAAGACCCAAACGGAGGTTGTTGAAGCCTTCTGGTAGGACTTGACCGAGGAAAACTGAAGTGCCAAGGCAGGATGCACAGCAAAAGTTTGATGTTGATCTATTGATCTAGGGAGTTGATGAAATCACCTATCAGGTCACAAATCGTGTTTCCGTGTTAGTTCTGTGGTTTGCTGCCTGCTTGGGAGTATATACGTGATTTGACCATCCATCAGTGACATGCGTGTTGCAAAGAACCCCACGACGGTGGGCACCCGTTCATGATGCTTCGTGTCCGTCGCTCATATGGCTGTGGGTCGACCACCGGGAGACCCTCAGTTGACCAACCGATCGAACGGACCACTTGAGAGAGGAGGGGGTCAACCGATCACGCGGGGTGCAAGGAGCCCACAAACCATCGTGTGTTCTGTCAGAAAAGCACCAAGGTGCGAACGCATCAGGGACGGTAGGACCATCGTTGTTGTAGGGATCGCCACCGAGATTATTGGAAAGCTCTTCGAGCAGCCCTAGACTCAAGCCATTAGCCTATAGTTATACAACACATAAATCAAACAAACACAACTATTGGTTCTTTCACTCCTAATGGAATGAAACAAAATATAATATAGTAAACATACCTGCTCTTTTCGATACGCTGCTTGTGCGATCTTGCGCACGAATCACCATTCCTGACCAAAGAAGGACACAGGAGTTACTGTTGTGGGAGGGAAAAAGGTAAAGGAGACACATCAGTAACTCCTGGGGACGATGCATGGAGTGTGGAACGATGCCTTCTTCTTGCTTGGTTCGGTACGCGGTTCAACATATTATAAACAAAGCATCTGTTAGGATAGCAGCATAGCTGCAACGAGTTCCCCGGCCACGCCAAGGCCACCTGGCGGAATGGCAAGAGTTTGTCCTCACCCGTCGAGCCGTCGAGATGCTTTTGCACCGCTAGTAGTAACAAGTGCCTTACTAGTAGTAACAAGTGCCTTACTAGTAGTAACAATGTTTGCTATAACCAACATGTTATCAAACGAACTGTGTACCCAAACCTTCCAAACGGGCCCGTTTAGGCGGGCTCCGACCATTCAGGAAAGCACCCCTCTGTGGCGGTGTTGCAACCGTCAGACCCTCCAACCGGGTGGAGTTCCCTCCAACCGCGTGGAGTTCACCTTGACGTTCAGTGACGCCCCTACGGGGTAAGCCCGGCACGTCGTCCTTGTTGATGTTCGGATCAAACAGAAATCCTACTATACACCCAGTATAGTAGGGGGTTGTACTTGCCCACGTCGTTGCCATCTTTCCTTTGAGAAGTGCACGAAGTGCACATCGGATTTTTTCCGCTGCAAAGATCACTGTTGTCAGGTTTCCAGAGGAAATGTTCATTGTAATACAGCAACTTGCTCTGTCTGCTATCTCCAAGTCTCAACACACCAAAACCTGCAAACTAGACACTAGCATCATGACCAGTGGCAACCAACCTAGCCTCCAAATGTGCGGTACCTTGTCCACCATTCACCTTGGATTCAGTGCGCCGGTTTTTTGACAGTTCTTCAACTGTTCAGTGGATTGATTCATCAATCCTTCAAGTCTGTGCGGTGCAATGTACATGCTAGTCTGCTAGTGCGTTCTATGGCAGATAGGATCCAAGTGAAAGGGATGCTGTTTCACAATGTCTGGGCCCACAAAACATATATAGTGACCAGGCAAGACAGCAAGAAGAACCGCCACCTTGAAAACAACATGTTCCTGCTTTCTTGTTGTATGCAAAGTGAAACAAGATGATGGATATTAGAATCACATAGAAGCAAATGGACAACAATTTTGTCCACAAGCAACATGCAAAACATTGTATGTTGGCTTCACAAACACAGCACACACTCGTCGGTGTAGTTTGGATACACCACGGGTTTTTGTGGGGCTATGAGTAAATGGGAGTAGCGTGATTGAGTGAAACATGTTCAGGCTGTGTGATCAAACAACGAGAAGCCAACAGCAAACTGACAAATACATCGCTAGTTAGTTTGTCTGAAGGTGACCAATAGTCAAGCTGAAGCGGCCAGCAAGCAGAAAATGGAACACAACGCTGGCAATACACCGACAGCAAATTGGCAAACATTATTTGTCGCGATCAAGGTGTATATATTCTCAAAACCTGGTTGAAATCCACAAGCCAGAATGCACACACGTATACAAACAGGGCCTCTTGTTGTCACTCTTGCTTGCTGACACTCTTGAAAAAAATATTGACGGACATTCTGGGGTGTCACTGCCACTCTTCCAGGACGCTCTTCCGAAACACGCTGGTGCGACACTTTGGCTTGACGCTCTTGTGGGACAATCTTCTAAGTGAACGCTCTTGTGCAACACACATGTGGGACACTTGTGTGCCACACTCTTCCTGGACACTCTTTGGTGCAACACCCTTGAAGGGAACTCTTGTGGGGCGCTCTATCTTGTAGGACACTCTTGTATAGGTCTTGTACTGCACTCTTGTGGGACACTCTTGGAGGACACTTTTGTAGGACACTGTTGTGGGACATTCTTGCGGGCTGTTCTTGTGGGACACTCTTGTAGAACACTCTTGTGAGACACTCTTGCAGGACACTCTTGTGGGACATTCCTGCGGGACATTTTTGTCGCAGACTCTTGTAGGCACTCTTGTAGGACAACTGTTGTGGGACACTCTTGTGAGACACTCTTATAGGGCAGTCTTATGGGACACTTGTCTGAGTCTCTTCTGGAACATTCCAAAAGAGCATTTTGGACGAGACTTCCTCCAAAAACGTCCAACATGTGTGAACCAACTGCCATGCGCGGCAAAATACGCGGCAAGTGTTTCTATCTAGTGCGGACATTCCCGCCACCAAGCAAGTGAAGCACGGGGGGGTCTTTGTTCGTTCTGTTCGCTGTTCCTGCCCGTGGTTGGTGCGGTGGTGGGGTCGTCGGGGAAACCTGGGCCAACAGGCTGAAAAAGGGGAGAGCTTCCTGAAGTGATGTAAGTCTCCAAGTCTCTAGTGTATTGGTATACCCAATACATCCCAATACCCAGGAGGGGCAAGTGTCTAGGCCTGTGGAATGATCGTATTCTTTCCAATTTGCTCATCCATTTCCTGCAAACTCCTGCGGAGTATTGTGCCAACAAATCGGACACATTGATCGATAGAGGTCACTAAACCATATATATATGTATGTTACAGGACTTCCAGAATGTTGTGTTGTAGAAGGACTCACTGATCCCGCACAATCATCGCACGGTCTCTCGTTGAAATCGCAAAAACTATAACTGGTTGCCCTCAGCCACCCGGCTCGGAGGTTACTGCTCAAGCGCGGACCAGTCCGAGGGGAACCTACCGCGGCCACCATCGGAGCGAAAAAGCACAGGGAGCCGGGCTGGAAGACAGGACTGAAGAACATCACGCACACACACAGGATCTTCACACCACACACATACATATACAATCATGCATGTATATATACGATATATATATATGTACACACACACACACATGGTTCGCAGGATTTTCGTCCAAGTTAAAGATTAGTGGCACGCACTCGATGGGTGTGTTGGGGGGGTTAGAGGATAAACCAACCTAGAAGGTTGAAGGTTGGAGGAAAGTAGTGAAGTAGTGATGAAGACAGAGTCAATGCAGTCAATGCCCTTTCCCACCTTAAGAATCCTCTACCCTCCCTACAGAGGGGCCGGACCCTGCTGCGGGTGCAGACCCTCAAAGCTCTCGATTCTGAAGAACCCGTGTGGTTCAAAGAAAAACATCCTGGGCCCAGCAACCGTGGCTGCCTGTATCGTGATCTCAAATAATTTTCTACTGGGTTTGTTGATTGGCGCGTTGCAAGCGGATATATTTTATATGCATATATTATATTTATATTCTCATATACGTGGGTCTTGGTGGTTTCTAGGGGATGCCGGATACTACCGTGGCTAGTCACTCAGCCCGACTTCGACCGATCCTTGCTGACGGAGCGGGATTCGGATGCCTCGGATGCCTCGTGTTCCGCTGCCACACTCGGTCGTTCGATACAAGGGATTCAGAGGGTTCGATGGCACGAACTCTGACCTGTCTGGTCAAAGGATGTCTGACCTGTTACAAAACACTGGCGCAAACGGCACGGGGATTGTGCCATCTCCATTCACTGTAAAGAACTCGAAGTCGGGTGGAACCTCCTCTCACCCTGTGAATGGCGGTGGAACCTGCCAAGCCAACAGAAAAGGGTCTTCCGTGAGGTTGAAACCAGCCTGCAGCCTAAACAGTGCACCAGCCTGAGGAAAACCAGTTACTTCATGGCTTTGGAGCGCCCATGGCAGGATGTCCTAAAAAGATCTAAAAAGAAATGACTCTCCATTGAAGGCGGTCCACCTGCAGGAATTCACTTTGGCGAGTCGCAGGTTCAGACTTGTGCACCTCCTGATTCTTCTGGGGGAACCACCTTTAATTACCGCCCAAAAAACTCCACGCAGGCTTTATGCATCTCAATGTCCCCTGACGAACGCACCTGTGCAATCCTCCAGGGTCTTGAACCAATCATCCAGCCGCCTCTGCAAACCTCAGCTGTCAACAGATCCCCGACAGCTCGCTGCGCCAAGCTGAAGATATGCAAAAACAATTGTCCGAAAGTGACGACATCTCGGAGATGATTTGACATTTTGACATCAACATGCAGTTGAAATGAAACAACCCGCAAGTCCAAAGAAGCCCAGCACTTGCTTGGAGTCCAAAACCCGCACTTGCTTGGAGTTTTGAATCAACAAAATCGTGCAAGTCATCAGTGCTCTGTAAAATCTACGGCGAACGACGAGGAGCCCGTTGGTTCCGCTTTGGTTATGCTTTGTGGGCCTAGGGGTGAGCAAACTGATTCATGCACAAAAGCCCGGTGTTCATCAAGGTTGTTGCCAAGCAGGGCCAGAGAGATCCAGTTTACGTTTACTTCGATGGGCCCAACTAGAGTCAGGGTGTCCCACTACGAACAGCCGAAAAAGGTCATCACATGTCATCACTCTTTTGAGAAAGGCACTAACCATGCTTTCCCAATATCCAATCATCCCCTGTGGGTGGCAATAAAAACAATAGGCCAGATCAACAACCACACAAGCCAGTTTGGCCAGGCCAGTTCGTGCTCCCGAACTACTTCCAGCACAAAACAATGTCCCAGCGGCGCTGCAAGGCAGATTCAGATGTGTGCGCCTGAGGCGACAGTCGCTTATTAGTCAAACACATGAATGGTGAAACCGTCTTCGCTGTACCAGTCACCACGCTTCGCAACTTTCAACATGCTGAAACACTGCAGAAAAAAATGACACCAGGAACTCAGGAACTCAGGCATTTACACGTGGCTTACAGCAAATGCAAATGATATCTCATGATGTCCCTATTCTCAATCAATCCCTCTCAGCTTCACCTGAACAACAAACCTTCGACTGTGCGGACCCGCCTCCCGGACCGGCCGCCAGGTGTCTCGGACACCTTCCATGGTGTCTTTCACGCCTTCCACCTGTCGCGAGCGAAGTAGACCGGCCGTGGGGAGTTTCTCCCCATGAGGTCCAAAGACTCGGTGTATTTGGTGGAAAGAAACCTCATAACTTGTACATTGCCTCGTTACACTAACAGTGAGCACAAACAAAACCACAAAAAAACGCACAACAAAGAATTCAAAAATCATTGTTTTTTGAATCTGGAAGCTGATCCAAGCACAAATTCCCCAACTCCCCTGACAGAACCAAGGCATTTTTTCTAGGAAGCTGGATTCAGTGTCTTTGTTCACTGGGCATCCTCAGCCAGCCAGTCTCACACACACAGTGTCACATATAGAGGTTTTCATTTTCGGTTCTTCAACACCTTGATTGGCTGGGCTTCTATGGATGTCGCTGGCTGGCTGGCTGGCTGGGCTGCCTGGCTGGGCTGGCTGCCTGGAGGACGGCCCTGCCTTACAAAAGTAAATGTAAACGGGTGCCCATAGCCCACCAGAAAAAGCACAACTGCCAGGTCATTTTGTCCAGGCAAAACAACCTGAACCCGCAGTTGTGTTTTTTTTGTGCTATGTTGTCCTCGGAGTTGTGTTTGTTTTTGTGTTTTTTTTTGTGATATGTTGTCTTCGGAGTTGTGGGTTTTCTTGTGTTTTTTTTTGTGATATGTTGTCCTCGGAGTTGTGTATTTTTTTTGTGCTTTTGGTTGTGTTTTTTTTGTGATATGTTGTCCTCGGAGTTGTGGGTTTTCTTGTGTT